TGGTACCGAGAGAACGGGGATGGCCGCGGGGAGCTGCCGAAAACCCCGTTAGCTGGAGGCAGGTCGAGGTGTGGGGAAAGCTTTCCGACCTAAAGCGTCATTCTAGCTCGGGCAGAGTGCCGGAGGCGCTGGAGCGTCCCCATCGCTGCAGCGATTCGAATTAACCCCAAATCCGCCGGGGGCGGGCTGGGTGCCGAGGTTTGGCGGCGCTTGGTGGGCTCGCTGTGGCCCTCCTCGCTTCTCTCGCTTTGCCTGGCTGCTCAGAACCCCCTCCCTCGGGACAGTCCGACGTCCCCGACCTTTTGTGTCTGAAAATCCTGCGGTGGTGACACTTCAGCTCACGGCTGCAGGAAAGCCGAGAGAGAGGGGACTGGAGAGCTGCTCTGGAGGGGGAAGGTGGCAGCTTTGGCTCTCCAGAGGTCCCTCTGCTCCATTACAAGCAGCTCCCAGGATGACCTGCTAGGGCATGGAAGGGTTTGTGAGGGGGACACTTGGCTTCAGCAGCCCGAAGGGACGGTGCCTGAAGAGCTGCAGGAGTTTGCACTTTCGTGAAAACCATGTTGCAGGCAAAGCTTTTAAATTTATTCCACTGTGGTTTGTTTTTTTTTTGTGATTAATTAACGTATTTTTTTCCCCTCATGCTTATCTAAAGCGTGAGGGGAAAAAAAAAAACATCTTGGCTTAAATTGGCAACTGAAAGCACTACAAATTGTACGCCACTGAAGAATCTCCTTTTGAAACTTTCTTGACTGAGGGGATGACTTCTCCCATCAGATGGGGAAATGCTGCGAGGGCTGGAGCAGCTCTGCTGTGAGGACAGGCTGAGGGAGTTGGGGCTGTTCAGCCTGGAGAGGAAGAGGCTCCAGGGGGACCTTATAACAACCCTCCAGTACCTGAGAGGGGCTACAGGAAAGCAGGGGAGGGGCTGTTCACAAGGATTTGGAGGGACAGGATGAGGAGTAATGGCTTTAAGCTAGAAAAGGGCAGATTTAGGTTAGATGTGAGGAAAAAGTTCTTCAGTATGAGGGTGACAGACCACTGGAATAGGTTGCCCAGGGAGGTGGTGGGGGCCCCATCCCTGGGGACATTCAAGATCAGGCTGGATGAAGCTCTGAGTAGCTTGATCTAGTTGATGTCCCTGCTCGTGGCAGGGGGGTTGGACTAGATGCCCTTTGGAGGCCCCTTCCAGCCCAGACTTTCTACAATTCCGTCATTCTCCCAGCGAAACACCCTCCTCAAAGAATCGGCGGCGTGTCCTTGCTCACGGGCTGCTTTCATCCATCCTCTGCCTTGCCCCCTGCACGAAATGGCCGACGAGAACGACGACCTGCAGGCCGAGGAGGAGCTCCCTGCCCCAGCTGAGGAGAGCTTTGAGCAGCTGGAGCACGACAGCCCCGCCGAGCGCAGCGGGCACGTGGCCGTCACCGACGGGCGCCGCATGTACGTCTGGGGAGGATACAAGGTACGCCCCTCAGCCCCCCCTCCTGCCACCCCTGGGGCTGGGAGTTGCAGCCCGTGAGTTTGGAAGTGACTCAAAAAATTAAGCCCTCCCCCCCAGAAAAAAAGAAGAGCTCCAGTGAACAAATTGGGAGTCTGATATTTCAAAGTTTGGAAATGCTGAAGTAGATCGTGAGTGGTAAATGCAGGTCTTGGCCAAGGGGTTTTTGTGGAGTCACTGTCTGGGTTGGGCGGGAAGGGACCTTTCAAAGCCACCTCATCCAACCCCCTGCCCTGAGCAGGGACATCTGCAGCTAGAGCAGGTTGCTCAGAGCCCTGGCCAACCTCACCTGGAATGGTTCCAGGGGTGGGGCAGCAACCACCTCTCTGGGCAGCCTGGGCCAGGGGCTCAACACCCTCAGCAGCCAAAATTCCTTCCTTTTGAGGGATGCAGGGTGGTGTTTGTCAGCTCACGTGTCTGTTGGAAGAGAAGGAAATGCTACCCAGTTTGAAATGCACAGCATGCAATGTGGTGCTTTTATGTACAGCATCATCAGCACAACTATTCCATGCTAATGATCATGGGCTGGTTGTTCCTCACACTGAGGTGTTCATGTCCTGCAAGCAGAACCAAGTCATTTTAAAATTTTGACAGGAATTAAGATGAATCATCAAGGAACTCAGTCAATAAATTGGTAGCTTAAGAAAAAGCTTTGGTGTAGTGTTCTGATGGTGTCATACAGGGGGTGGGGGAATTAAAAAGGAGAATTGGGTGCATTTATGCACCCTGGTTATCCTGGTTGGGCTATGAAGATGAGGTTTAACTTCCCTTTACCTCAGTCTGGCTCTGCTGGGAGGCTGTCTGGTCCCCAGCAGAAGCTGAAGCAGGCTCATAGCAGCTCTCTGAGGGCTGCTGTGTGTGGCTGGGAGGTGCAGGAGGGCAGCAGGCACAGCTCTTGCTGCTTTCTCTGCTGGGGGGAGGTCTCTGAGGGGTGGGGATGGTCACAGGAGTCTCATTCAGTGTATCAGACATCCTTCTAATGGGGCTTTTTCTTGTCTGACCTGTTCTGCAGAATGCCCAAGTTAGGGGATTTTATGACTTCTATCTGCCTAGAGATGAAATATGGATCTACAACATGGAAACTGGAAGATGGTACAGTAAATCATTAATTTTGGGGGGTTTCTGGGGGGGAAAAAAGGTAAATTTAAGAATTGGTACAGAAACCATGCTGAGGGTCTGTGAACAGAGAGAGAATTCCCTGAGTTCTTTGTTCCTGTCTATCAAATGATTACATAAAGGTATAAAATGCTTCCAAATATTATTTCTTTTTCAGTGAAAACACCAAATATGTTTTCACAGGGTTAAAGTAGAAGAGAGCTCAGACAGGCAGCCCAGACCCCCCGAGTCCCCTTGGCACTTTGCAGGGAGCAAGATCTCAGCAGGGCTTCCAGACCTTATGGTGGCTGGGTAGAGCCTTGGCCATGGGCTGGAACCTCATTTTTGTGGTTATAATGTTTATGAACGTTCAAAATCCTGTCTCCAAATATAAACCTTCAGTTTAGACAGGAGCATCCTCTGCCTGAGGATCTTCCTGGGGCTTTGGGAAGGCGTACCAAACTCCTGAACTGGGCGGGCAGGATTCCTCCCCCACAGAACACCTATTAATTAATTAAATTGCCTTTTCCTCACCTCCACTCCTTCATATCAGGTTAACCTTGTCAATTGTTAAACCTGGAAGGGTGTGAAGAACCTGTAACCAAATGGTCCAGGGTGACCTGGTGTGGTTAAAAACACACCTATGGTGTTAAAAACAATTCCACTCCAGATAAAATCGTTCCTGGGGATTTTTAACAGACATTTTGCACTGTGATTCTAGGAAGAAGAGCAAAACAGAGGGAGACATTCCCCCCTCCATGTCTGGGAGCTGTGCTGTGTGTGTGGACAGAGTGGTGTACCTCTTTGGAGGGCACCACGCGCGGGGCAACACAAACAAGGTTGGTAGTTTAAGGATAAACCCCTCCCTACAAATAAGTTTCTCCTCATTAGCTTCATTCCTGTGCTTCATAAACAAGAGGTGGCCTTTTCAGTTCATTAAAATCCATCCCTGTTTGTTGATTTGGGTTTGTTTTTTTTTTTGGTTCAAGTTCTTCTTGTGCAATTCACCCTATAAATTGTCTAAGTGGTGCTTTTAAGTTGGCTTCTTCTGAAAGCTGGGAATTCCCAGAGTTCACTGGAATAACCCCAGGAGGTGATTTGTCACCTCTCTGTAGCTGTTTGAAATGTTTTTCTTCTCTGGAGCCTGATAACATTTTCTGATGTTCTCCAAGTGTGGCTTAAATTGAATCATTTGGGCCTTGTTCTCAAACAGAAACTATTTCTCTCCATGCAAAATGATGGAACACATAGAGAAGCAAAAAAAAAAATCCCTTTTTTCTTTTTTTAACCAGATTTTTTCTTTTTATTGTAAGACATTTGCCACTTTATACACCCCTTCACTCCATTCACCTGTCAGCTTTTGGGTGGTGAAACTGAATGACCATAGTCCTGTTATTTATGTAAAAAGTGTTTGGGGCCAGATAAAGATAAAGTTAATGATAAAGATAAAGTTAATGATAAAGATGTAGATGTTTGGGTCTGTGCAGGCAGGAGAACTTTTCTTTCTGTCCATGCTGATTAGAAGTTAATGTTTTAATGTAGCTCGGGCTTTCAGCGAACTGTGGGAGTAAACCCCAAATCTTTTTTTATTTCCTCCAGTTCTACATGTTGAATTCCAGATCCACGGACAAAGTGCTGCAGTGGGTCAGAGTGGAGTGTGAGGGGGTGCCCCCTTCCTCCAAGGACAAACTCGGAGTTTGGGTTTACAGAAACAAGTAAGGCTCTGGCAGCACGTGCCCACCTCTAATCCCTCCTCCTCCTTCTCCTCCTGTGCCCGTCCTGTCCTGCTCAGGCAGGAGCTGCAGAGCCACCTCTTGCCTCCAGCACTTGAGGAAGAGCCTGGATTTCCTCCCCAGCCAGCCTTTTAAAGGTGCCCATTTGGGAAGTGACAGTCCTGGCTCCTCTGGGTGCCTGTGAGCTGCAGAGCACCCACGTGAGTCATGGGCCAGACCACCCCCCTTGCGTCGTGGTTCCCTGTCTGGGCATCACCCATCTTGGCAGCTGCCTCAGGGATTCCTCCTCCTCACTGAAAAACCCCTTCAGGATTCCCCCTGTCACACAGGACTCGGTCTGTGGGCCATGTCTGGTGGGACAGGTTGCCTCTCTTTGGTCGCTGAAGAGCAGGAAGCTGTTCTGATCCTCACACAAACATGGGTGACTCTCCCAGCACTCCACGTGCTTCCTTCAGTGTGGTTGGAGTTGGTTGCATAAAACCAGGGCTCTGATGGGTTGCTGGGGGTGTTATCTGATTGGGATAGCATCCAAGAGATGCCAGAAGGGCTTTTGGCACCTTGGAAAAGAGGAGGGTGACAAGGAGAAGGTGTTGAAGCTAGATGAGCTGATGTGAAAAACATTGCTGTTGCCTTGTGCCCTCCTCCCTGGTGCAGTTAGGTAGTGCTGGTCCCATGAGCTGGGAGCCCTGTGGTGAGATCATTCCAGCCTTCTGGTGCTGGAGGATGGACTGAAGAAAGACCCTGTTGTAGTTCCCTCCTTCCACAGGCTTGCTGTATCCCAGCTGCTCAGGAGCTTGGGAGAGGAGGTGAATTACCTCAGGGAGGACAGGGGCCTTTCACACAATCCCAGCATGGTGGGGGTTGCAAGGGTCCCCTGGGGATCATCTCATCCAACCCCCCTGCTCCAGCAGGTCACCCACAGCAGGGTGCCCAGGATGGTGTCCAGGTGGGTTTGGGATCTCTCCAGAGCAGGAGACTCCACAGCCTCTCTGGGCAGCTGCTCCAGGCTCAGCCACCCTCACACCAAAGAACTTTTTCCTTGCTCCTCTTGGAGCCTCTACCCCAAGCAGATTTCTCAGAGGGTTCCTGGCTTCTAGAGAACAGAACTCCAAAATACCATGGCTCCTGTGGCCAGAATTGTCCCCTGGCAGGAGCAGCTGGGAAGGTTCGTCCCCAGGGGGCAGGGCTGTCTGCAGGCAGGCACCCGCTGTGGGTGGTGCTGCCAGGGGCTGGGGAGGTTTGGTGTCCATATGAGGTGATGGTGGCAAGGGTTACAGGTCCTTGTCTTGTCAGGGTAGGGGGTCAAGCTGAAACCTCCAAAATCTACAGGGTTAAGCTGTAACCTGCAAGGCCAGACTGAGAGAGCTGGGGTTCTTCAGCCTGGAGAGGAGAAGGCTCTGAGTAGACCTCATTGCAGCCTTCCAGCATCTGAAGGGGGCCCCCAAGAAAGCTGGGGAGGGACTTTCTACAAAAAAAAGATGCTCTTTATGGTCCCTTCCAACCCAAACCAGTCTGTGAAGTAGCCCATGGTGCTAGTTCTCAGCTTCTTGATGAGGAGGGAAAGGTTTTTGCTGTGACACTGAGCGTGGTCCGTGCAGAGGTAAATGTGGGTGAGAGTGGAGCTGGGGGTGCTGAGCCTGGTGCTGGAGGCTCCAGCATCCAGTCAGGATTTCTGCCAAAGCCATGCCCTCAGTCCCTAACGTGTGCTAGAGCCAGAGGAATGACTGCTCAGAGCAGCTGTCCCTCAGGCTTTGAATCAAAACACAAGCAGCACAAAGGAAAATGCCTTCCCCAAACCAAAAAAACTTCCCAGGCAGCTTCACTGGTCGAGAGTCTGCTGCAGGTAGTGCCCCTTGGTCTCCTCCTACCCCGTGCCCCTCTCCACCTTCCCTTTCTTTCTTCCAGGGGTGCCCGTGGGTGTTTCTGGCTCAGGGAGAACAGGTGGAGGGGTTGGAAAGGGAGGGAATAAATCCCTGGAGCTGGTGTGGGAGGTGAAGGCTGGAGCGGGGTGACCTGGTGGCTCCTCATGTTTGGAAGCAGAGCAGAGCTTGGAAGCCTGAGGCCTGGGGGGTGCTGCTGCTGCTGCAGAGGGTTTGGTGTGGGTGGGTAGGGGAGATTGGGCAAGAAGCTGGGCCCCACACCTGGAAAACTCACGTGGGAGACACGTTGGAAGCAGCCCAGCCAAGGGAGCTCCCCTGTTCTTCCTGTCTTCTGTCTGATCTCAGCCTTTACAGGACTTGAGTTGGCAGCAGCAGATGTGGGAAGGTAACGGTTGGATTGGATGATCTCAAGGGTCTTTCCCAACCTGAGGGATTCCATCGTGCCGCAATAACATTTCTAACAGATCTGGATGCCCATTTTGTTTCAGGCTGATATTTTTTGGAGGGTATGGTTATTTTCCTGAGGGGAAACAACGGGGAACGTTTGAATTTGATGAAACCTCTTTTTGGGTAAGTAAACCTTGAAGTAATTTCTATAGAAACAGTACTATTTTATTGGTGCTTATTAAAACCTGTTGCTTGCTTAATTAATTTTTAAAGAATTCAGGTCTTCCTAGAGGATGGAACGACCACGTGCACGTTCTGGACACTGAAACTTTTACTTGGAGCCAGCCTATAACTACGGTAATTATCAGTCTTGTGTCAGTTAATTAAGTAAGAGGTGTAAAGAAACATGTGCACCGTGTGCCTTTTCTCTTCTACATCCTGCAAAAATCAGCATGACTGTTGCAGTGCCTGCCTGGCACTGGATTAACCCACAGCTTGGGGCTGTCTTCACCTCTGGTGTCTCATGGAGGGCTCCTCTCTTCAGTCTCCATCTCCCTGGCATGATTGAAGAAGATGTGGTTAACTCCTCATGAGCAAAAAAGCACAGAAGTTCACCCAAAATGTGTTTTTCTACCTCCCCACTCCACCCTGCAGCTTTGTTTAGGTGTCACCAGCCTTTACCTGCCCAGTGCTGAGCTGTGGGGTGCTCGGTGAGCCCAGTTCGTTGGCATACAAACCAGTCCCTGAATGCCAGGAACTAGGAAAGGTGGAAGAGCTCTGAGATACCCAGGGCCAGCCAGCAGAAGGGCAGGAGCAGTGCCCCTCAGGACTCCATGAGGTGTCTTTAGCCTGTGGTTGCAATTTTACCTACAACTTCCTTGTAGGTAGAAGCAGTTTAACCCACAACATCCTACTGTTGGTAGAACCACCCTTGGAAACATTCCCTTGAAACTGTCTCCTTCCTGCTCAGTAGCATTCTTGAGGGCATTTAAACTGAATGTAAACCATTCCTTTACCTAGATCCTCTCCTTCCCAAAACCAGGAAACCTGCTTTTATTTTGGGCCTTACCATTCTGGGCCCCTCACTCCAGGAGGGACCTTGAGGGGCTGGAGCGTGGCCAGAGAAGGGCAACGAAGCTGGGGAAGGGTCTAGAGCCCAAGTGTGGGGAGGAGCAGCTGAGGGAGCTGGGGGTGCTGAGCCTGGAGCAAAGGAGGCTCAGGGGAGACCTTCTGGCTCTGCACCGCTCCTGACAGGAGCCTGGAGCCAGGGGGGGGTTGGGCTCTGCTCCCAGGGAACAAGTGACAGGACAAGAGGAAACAGCCTCAAGTTGCACCAGGGGAGGTTGAGGTTGGACCTGAGGAACAATTTCTTGCCCTGGAGGGTTGCCCAGGGCTGTGCCAGGCTGCCCAGGGCAGTGGTGGAGTCCCCACCCCTGGAGGGGTTTCCAAGCCATGGAGATGTGGTGTGAGGGACACGGGGCAGTGGGGACCTGGCAGTACTGGGGGAACAGTTGAACTTGATGATCTCAAACATCTCTTCCAACCAAAGTGATTCTGTGACTCCACTTTGGTCTGTCATTCTCTCATCATCTTTTTTCCTGCCGAGTTGGTTTCTTTTATGCTTTGGTGACACTGTGCTCCTGGGAAGCTCAGAAAAACAAAATGTGCAATTTCCTGTCACCCTCTCTGAGGTGACAGTTTGATACCTTCCATTTGGGTTCTGGATTGTGGTCAGAACAACAGGAGACACTCCCTAGCTGCAAACAGACACCCTCTTAAGTGTCACAGAGGGATCCAGGGACAGGGAAGTGGAGTGAGACTGCCACAGAATTGGAGGAAATGAACTCTGAGATAAGTAACTCCTGTTGAGATTACCAAGGGATTGTTTTGTCTTACTATGGACAGAGCTCAGTTAGTTGAGAATTAGCTCAAAAAAAAAGAGTTTTCAGCAATTCCTTATGTCCTTGTCTCACAGCCTGAGGTTTTCTGTGAGTGAACCCCCTTTGAAAACCAAAATTTCCATCATGGAACCCCAGTGCAGTAGGGGTTGGAAGACACCTCTGGAGACCATCTCATCCAACTCCTGCTAAATATCGTGACACTTAGAGGGGGGGAAAACAACCACCCATTTTTAATGAGCTTTCTGCTCTTCCATCCATCAAAAAAGTGAATTTATTCACACAGAAAGATGTCAGGGCTGCCTTGCCCTGTTGGCTTTACATCCGACTCGAGCTGGGCCCCTGTCTCCTCGGGTGGCAGACAGGTGGGGCCTCAGGGGGACACCCAGGGGGGCTGTGAGGAGCCAGGCCTGGCATGGCCCCCAGTGCACCTGAACCCTGTCCTGTTCCCTTCCCACAGGGTAAAACCCCCTCGCCACGAGCTGCCCACGCCTGTGCCACCGTGGGGAACAGAGGCTACGTGTT